ATAATGTTAAAACTTATTTATTTTATTAAAAAAGAAATTTATTTAAAATATAGAGATTATTTAATTTAAAATTCATAAATAAAATATAAATAATAATATATTTTTAAATAATAAAATTATATTTTAATATATAAAAAATTTAATAATATAATTTAGTAAATAATTTGTTAAAATTATAAATATGTAAAATTTAATTTTTTATTTTCCTTTAATTTAAGACATAGGAAATGATGCAGAGTGTCATTGATTTATAGTGTCATTGATGTAGAGTATCATTGATTTAAACTTGTCAGGAATCTAATGATTTAATCATAAATGTCATTCATGTAAAATGTTATTGATTTACACGCGTCAAGAATCTAATATTTTAGTCATAAGTGTCATTGATGCAAAGTGTCATTGATTTATGCGTGTCAAAAATCTAATGTTTTAGTCATGAGTATCATTGATTCAGAGTGTCATTGATGCAGAATTTCAGGAATCTAATGCTTTAGTCATGAGTATCATTGATGCAAAGTGTCATTGATGTAGAGTGTCATTAATGCATGCGTGTCAAGAATCCAATACCTTTAGTGACAAGTGTCATTGATTAAACCCTATCTCTACCTTTTATTTAAATGAGACCATTCTTTGTTTCAAATGTAGAGTGCAATTGAGCCAAGTATTCTTGTTTTCAAATCCAGATATAGAAACTCTTTGTCTACTACAATGTCTTCTTCTTTCAGTGTGTTAGTCTTTTTTAATGGTGAAATCACTTAAACAAATAAAGGGGATACTTTTGTATCCTCTAACCCAATGTTTTTCTTAGTTAATCCACGTATCACACTTGATGCATTGAAAGCCAAGATCCAAAGAAGACTCAACTTACCACAACCACATTCAGTTGATCAACTTTACTTCCAATATCCACAAGTGGTAGGCGAAAGAATGCTTAATTTTTGAGTTGTCAAGCTTACTGACGATGAAGACGTTCATGGAATGATTCAAATGGTTCGTAGCCATAAACTTCTTCCTTTTGCTCAACTATATGTGGATCTCTCACCAATAAATAACAATCCTCCACCTTCCTATGAAAACCAACATTCTTCCTATGAAAACCAATCTTATTCCTATGAAAACCTTTTTCTTGTCAAAACCAACCTTCATAAGACAAATTTCATCCACATACAAGTTCATTCACCCACTTAGATTTTACCCCTTTTTTCAAAGCACCTATGACTCACCATACCTAAACGATAATCCTTTACCACATGGATCCTTTACCAACCTCCTTATATTTGGAGTCCCACAAGAAGAAGAAGAAGAAGAAGAATAAGAAGAAGAAGAACAAGAACAAGAAGGAGTTTCTGAAGTTGGAGTTCCTAAAGAAGAAGTCGGTCCTTTTACTGAAGGTGAAGACAATGCAAGACTCCAATAAGATGAACAAGATCTTGTTCTACATCAACCTCAACATGTAGGCACATCTTCAACCATATTCAGTTTCCCATCACACATGCATAATGTAGATTTACAAACAGATTTTACCGACCCAAAGTACTTGACCATGTTAACGTTGAGCATGCTCCTGACACCCTGTTTCAGGGCATGACTTTCGACACAAAGGAGGATGTCCAACATGTTTTAAATGCGTGCCATATAAAGGAAGGTTTGTATTACAAGGTGGAGAAATCATCACCAACATTAATTGTTGCACGATGTGTTAATACTAGATGTGATTGGAGGTGTAGAGCAGTTTTCATTAATAAAAGCCAAAAGTTGGAGGTTCGTAAGCTATCAAGTGAATATTTTTGTTCATCCCCTATTAACACACAAGATCATGTCAACCTTGGCTATGTATATATTAGCAAAAGTATTCTTGCATTGGTGGAGAGTGATCCATCAATTTTAATTCCAACAATAATAACACATAAAAAATGATGAAGGGTACATAATTTAATACTACAAAGCATGGATTGCAAAGTAAAAGGCAATTGAAGACTTACATGGCAATTGGGAACAATCTTACCATGATTTACCCAAGTTGCTCAATGTCATGACAATATTTCTTAATGGATTTGTTGTTGAGAAGCAAACAAGACTACTATACAACCAACAAGGTGAGATGGTTCATCATTATGTTTAATTCCATAAAGTATTTTGGACATTTAAACCTTGTATCGATGGGTTCAAATACTACAAACCCATTGTTCAAGTTGATGGCACATTCTTGTATGGAAAATAAAAAGGAACTCTCCTCGTGGTCGTGGCTCAAGTTGGTAACAACAAAATCTTTCCAATTGCCTTTGTCATTGTTGACGGTGAAATAACAGATGCATGGTTTTTCTTTCTACATTACCTAAAAATACATGTTTTCCCTTAAGATGGTCTTTGATTAATTTCTGACAAGCATGAGTCCATCAAAAATGCCTACGCTAGACAAGGTAGTGGTTGGACACTAGAGAATTCAATGCATGTGTTTTGTATTCTCCATACTGCCCAAAACTTTATGAGACATTTCAAGAATGCATAAAGAAAAAAATTAATCATCAACATGGGTATGTAGTTCTTTTTTATTTCAAACTTATCATTAATTATTTTTATTTGGTTGACCATATTTCAACAATACTAAATTGTTCATTTTTTATTCATCTAATTTCACAGCTTATGGGATGACTGAGCCAAGATTCAATTACTACTACAACACACTAAGGATCGAACCAAAAACTGAAGGTGTAATTAAATGGCTCAACACTATACCAAAAGACAATAGAGTCTTACATGGAACGGTGACCGACAATGGGGACACATGACTATCAACTTGGCAGACGTAATAAATTCCATTCTTAGAAAAATAAGAAATTTACCAATTTCTGCAATTATCATGTCAACTTATAAGAGATGTAATGCCTCCAAAGAGGGAAGAAAGTCGATGCTAAACTCAAGGCTGACCAACTTTATACTTAAATAATCAATAGGGCCATGAGAAATGCAGAATCAAAGGCTAATAGTCATCATGTCCTTGAATTTGATTGTCGCATTACACATTTTCTAGTGCAAGAGACCATTAACCCAAGGGAAACATGGCCGCCTAGAAATTTCACCATTAGACTGCATGACAAGTGGTGTGACTGCGGGAAATTCCATAAGCTACACATGCCATGCTCCCATGTTGTTGCTATATGTGATGGAAGAGCATGGACCAAGGGTCCAACCACTAGAGCTATGGCTAGGAGGTTACTTGAAGATTTGATTGCTTCAGAGCTTGGTGGGCCTAGGGTACTCTTTACATGGGCTTTACAGTGACCAACATGTTACTATCTTTAATGAGTAGTATAGGTTTTACTTTTATTGGTCTTGTATTTTGCACCACTTAGAATAAGATTTTGGCCTTAGGCTTCATGGGCCTATTTTTGGGATTTATAGGCCTTTGGGCTTTTGGTACCCAATATTGGGCTTATTTTGAATCAACTGGTTAAAAAAGATGCACCATTTGAATGGAAAGACAAACAAGACCAAGCATTTCAAGTTTTGAAAGACCAACTCACAAATGCACCCATACTAGCTCTACCCGATTTTTCAAAAACTTTTGAGCTAGAATGTGATATATCTGGAATTGGCATAGGTGATGTGTTGTTGCAAGAAGGGCATCCAATTGCATATTTTAGTGAAAAACTAAAAGGTGTCTCCCTCAACTACCCCACCTATGACAAAGAGTTGTATGCTTTGGTCAAGGCCCTACAAACTTGGGAACCTACTTAGTGTCCAAAGATTTTGTAATACATAGTGATCATGAATCACTAAAGTATTTAAAGGTCCAAGGTAATTTAAATAAAAGACATGAAAAATGGCTAGAATTTCTTGAACAGTTTCCTTATATTATTAAATTCAAGAAGAGTAAAGCTAATATTGTGGTTGTTGCCTTATCAAGGAGACACACTTTACTTGTGTCTCTTGGAACCCAAATTCTTGGCTTTGATA